TTGAGGACATGCACGAGGACCTTGAGTGTCTTGCAGCCGCTGCGCCTCATCTCGTTGCCATGCTGCTTGCCCCTGAGGGAGACCCGGATGCACCAGACATCCCGACCCCGCGTTCTTACGCTGAGGAGATCGCGGGTGAGTACTCATCTCAGTGGCAGACAGCCATGGACGCAGAGATGGCATCGTGGAAGTCCATGGCACTTACGTCGACGAGTTTCCCCCTCCTGGGGCGAACATCGTCAGTGGCATGTGGATTTTCAGGGTGAAGCGGCCGTCAGGTTCTCCGCCTGTCTTCAAGGCTCGTTACGTTGCTCGAGGCTTCAGTCAGCGAGAGGGGGTTGACTTCTTCCAGACCTTCTCCCCCACCCCGAAGATGACCACTCTTCGGGTGCTGCTGCACGTTGCTGCGCACCGGACTACGAGCTTCACTCTCTTGACTTCAGCACAGCTTTCTTGCAGGGCAGCCTGCACGAGGAGATCTGGCTGCGCCGCCCCCCGGGCTTCACTGGGTCGTTCCCTCCTGGTACCCAGTGGAGCCTCCGGCGGCCGGTCTACGGTCTCCGCCAGGCGCCACGTGAGTGGCACGACACACTGAGGACTACGCTTGCGGCTCTTGGGTTCGCGCCTTCTACAGCTGACCCGTCGCTGTTTTTTGCGCACCGAACTTCACTGCCGCCGTTCTACATCCTCGTGTACGTCGACGACTTGGTCTTTGCCACTGCTGACACTGAGGCTCTCGCCCATGTGAAGTCGGAGCTGCAGAAGAGACACACGTGCACAGACTTGGGTGAGCTGCGCAGCTACCTTGGCTTGCAGATCACCCGGGACAGAGCACGCCGCACCATCACCTTGACTCAGTCACACATGGTGCAGCAGGTCCTTCAGCGCTTCGGCTTCACCTGGTCTTCAGCACAGGCCACTCCTCTGGCTACAGGTCACACGCTCTCAGCTCCACCTTCGGACGAGTCCGTAGAGCCGAGTGGTCCTTACCCAGAGCTAGTCGGCTGCCTCATGTACCTGATGACTTGCACTCGACCTGACCTCGCGTACCCTCTTGGTCTTCTGGCTCGCTACGTGGCTCCTGGTCGGCACCGACCTGAGCACATGGCTGCTGCTAAGAGGGTACTGTGCTACTTGTGCAGCACATCAGGCATGGGGCTAGTGCTTGGAGGGACGAGCCCAGTTGTCCTCACTGGACACTCAGACGCTTCTTGGGTTGACGACCAGGCACTCAACGGTCGTCACAGGGTTACACCTTCAGCCTTGGCTCTAGTTCAGTTTCGTGGCGTTCTACACGTTCGTCTTCAGTTCTCAGCTCCAGTTGTGAGGCTGAGATCTACGCCACAGCCATGGCTGCACAGGAGTTACGCTGGCTCACCTACCTGCTGACTGACTTGGGAGAGCAGCCTCGTTCTCCTCCAGTGTTGTACGTCGACAACAAGGCCGCCATTGCCTTGTGTGAGGAGCACAGACTGGAGCACAGAACGAAGCACATTGCTCTGCGTTACTTCCTGGCTCGAGAGTTGCAGCAGCGAGGCCAGCTTCGTCTTCGCCACGTGGCCACTCGGGCCAACACTGCTGATATATTCACCAAGGCACTTCCGTCTGGTGATCATCAGCGCTTTTGTACTCTGTTGGGCCTTGTGCCTACGTTTCCACACTTGCTGTAGTCTCTGCTTGTACTGTGATCTATATATATATACCTGCATGCTGGCTCTTGCTAGGTAGCCATCACTGTACTGTTATTGCTGCATATATATCTCTGCATGTGAACTGGCCCTGTGGCCTTTTGCTTGTGCTCGGAATGCGTGGTGACGTTGTGATCCACCCTGAGCTTGTTTTGCTTCTCTTGACTGGTCGTGTGACCCCTTGTTCTCCCCCACTTTGCCTATGGGGGTTTGTCAAACTATATGTGCTGCATATTGTCTAGGCTTGTTGTGTGGGGTAGCCCATATGGGGTACAACCCAATTAGGGTTTACTACTTGTACTCCTGCATCCTGTTAGTTCATCCATTCCTGCTGCTAGATTCTAACAGTTTCGTGCCACGAAAAATATAAGTCATTGTTTCTTGCGATGAATCCAAGACTCCCTTAGGGTTTGTTCGTCCTTTTTTTCTCCCGCTGCTCCTTCTCCCTAATGAGGCTCCCCGCCAAACACGCTCCACCTACTAGTGCAAGGTAAGAACCACCCTAACTTATCATTTTGAGCCAAATTAGATCATTACACGCTAGACTACCATTTCTTGGTCTCATATCGTAGTCGTTTAGCATAGTATTGGCCGCATGTTGTTTAAGGCTTAGGTTCTAGAATTGTTGTAGATACTTTAGCTTTAGGTCTTTCACTAGATTTGTGTCTTTCAGTTTTAAATGTCGTTCAACGTTCGTTCGCATTCAACTATGCACGGTTTAGGCATATCTCGGTGAGTTCGTAGCTAGGTGCGTTTATTTATTTCATTTCCTTTCCTTTCGCCTTTCATCTGTTTTTCTTACCGTTCCTCTTCCATCTTGATCTTAACGTTAGTTTTTTGTTAGCCATGAAACTTCTCTTGCACCTCGTTGTTTCCACCATTCGTTCTTTGTTACATATTTGTTTTCTCATGGTTATCTTTTCTTTGTTAGCCTGAACGCGTTCCTTCTAGTTTTATTGCTCGTGCTGAGAAACCTAATTCCCAATCTTTGAAATCTCTCTCTATCTCTCTCTCTATCTCTATATCTCTCTCTCTCTCTCTCTCTCTCTCTCTCTCTCTCTCTCTCTCTCTCCCCCTCTCTCTCTCTCTCTCGTTCTCTCTCTATCGTTTCTCTCTCCGTTCTCTCTCTTTCTCTTCTTCTCTCTTTCTCTCTCTCTCTCTCTCTCTCTCTCTCTCTCTCTCTCTCTCCTCTCTCTCTCTCTCTCTCTCTCTCTCTCTCTCGTTCTCTCTTTCCGTTCTGTCTCGTTCTCTCTTTCTCGTTCTCTCTTTTCCATTCTGTCTCGTTCTCTCGTTCTCGTTCTCTCGTTCTTCTTCTCTCACGTTTTTTTCTCGTTTCCTTTCCATTCTTTTTAACGGTCATTGTTTTTTTGTAAGTCTGCTTTCTGCCTCCTCATTTCCTGGTGTTACTTAGATCGTTTTCCCTTTATTTCAGATCGTGTTATTTGAGTCGTGTTTCATTTTTTTCTCTTGATTTTTATAACCGTTAATAGGATTTTTTTTATAACCCATCGCAATAGGTTAATCGCCTTTTTACAAGTCGTTTTCTATATTTAGCTCGCTTGTCCTAAGCCTTCCTCTTATTTGCTGTTTATTGGACGAGAATCTAAACTTACCATAACTACCGTTCACTACATTTATTTTTATTTTTTTTCGAGGTTGAAAAAACAATTGTTCATAACGATCGTAATAGGTTGCTTCGCAACCCAAAAAGTGCATAAGAAATCTACCGAAACAATACAGTACCACCATCAATCATACAAGACAACACTCAGGTTCTACTTTCCACAATGGTCTTGGCTTCAAAATGATAGAGTAACGGTTCTGAAAATAGGGTATAAAGAAAGGAGGGGAGAGAGGACGAGGAAAAGAACAGAGCAGAAGGGGCAGACGAAGGGCAAAAGCAGAGAAATGAAAGACATGGTACAAATAAAAAAGATACAAGAAATCACGAAATGACCAAATAAAAGGCAGAACGAGTGAATGCAGAATAAAATTACAAATACAAGCGAACTTGAAGAAAGTAGGAACTGACAGTCACATACCTCCCACTTACTCATGAATATATGCTAAACAACCCACGAGAACGTCACTTTCATTTGTGCAAATGTGCAATGTTTGTCATCACACGAAAAGAATTGATAAGCTATATAGAAGGTAGAGGCGTGCGTCTTTAAAAAATGACAAACCAGAAACTGGAAAGGGAATCGAAGACAAAAGCGGATAACATAGGCACAAGAAATTGAAGCAAAAGGAATGGAAACAAGGCCTAACTAGGACAAATTGACATCATACTCTAATTCGCCTAGCAAGCTACATCGAAATGGTTTCTATGGGAACAAACGCTGAACAGAATGTTAGGAGAAAGATAACAAAATAACATACACGGAGGAACGGAGTATGTCATGCAAAAGGCAAAAGTGGGAAAGAATCTAACATGAAACAATAAAAATCACTAACTCTTCCTTGCTCTTTTATTCAAACAAAGCCGGTAATGAAAGAAGAGGAGGTTAGAAATATTGTACTCATGTTGATTTCATCTACTGACTTTGCACTCATACTCTCCTTCACATTCTTCTCAACTCTCCTCATGCTCACTTCTCCTCACGCTCTCTTCCCCACACGCACACACACACACACACACACACTCTCTCAAGCTGTGCCTCTCGGGTATTCTTTATCACATAGAATTTTCGCACATGACTACCCTCTCACTCTCTTTCACAATTTAAGCTCACCAAGTTCTGCCGACATGCTCGTGCCCTTCTTGGCTGCCGCCGCCGCGGATTATGCGCATGACGCCAAACGTGGTGCGCTCCTGGCACCAGCAAAAACACACCAGCGTGACTTGCACCAGCAAAATGACGGTAGTGAGAGGATAAAAGGGGGGAAATGAAAAGAAAAGGGATAAGAAGGGAGGGAGAATCGAGAGAGAAAAACGGTAAAAAAGAGAGAAAAAGAAGAGGTAAGGGAGGGAAGAGAGGTAAACACATATGTGAAAGAAAGCAATAAGGTCGTTAAAGATGATCAACGGTCCGACATAAACATTAGGCCTTGTGAAACGACCACATCAGTTTCTGGATAGGACTACTCTAAACCGAGTGTGAGGAAAAAAAGAATGAAAACATGGAAATTCGAGGTGGTAAAAAGGCAACCGACGAAAAGGAAAAGTAAGGACGACGGATAAAGGAAAGGGATGGTAGAGAATGCACGAAGAAAGAAACGGGAAAATACAAGATACGAAATCTTTACAAAGGGCCCTAAGCTTAAACAACTAACAGTCATTCTTTTACACTGTTAGGGCACGAGATTACTAAACGCTTGTCTAAGGCTCATATAACTTAGTTGCAGTTGAGCATTAAGGAGTAGTTAGGGGGGAGGTTAGGCACTCATGCTTCTCACCTTCCTCTGGCAGGTGGGGTGGTGAGCGTGACCAGCGAGAGAAAAAAAGAACATACAAACCCTAAGGTAGGAAGCATTTTGTCGCGTCGTAATTGGACTAGTTATTTTAGGCTCGAAAAAAACACGATTGCGATAGCGTAGTCGTTTTAGATGCACTTCGATTCCAAAAGTCACGATTTCGATTCTCACCGTAGCCTTTGCAACATCAACCACCGATTTGTACTCAACATAAAAAGTAGATGAATCTTGGGAAAGGAGAGTGTTATATTCGTATAATAGAAGTTAATTACGCAAAATGCTTCGCAACCCTATGACGACCTTGTCGCCTCTTGTTTTTTTGTTTTTGTTTTTTGTTTTGTTTTTTTTTTTATTCGGGCCCACCTACCGTTGCGGTTACTGAGCTGCCCCACGTCTTGCCTGCGCTGCGCCGCCCGCGCGCGCCCTGCCTTGCCTGCGCTGCGCCGCCCGCGCGCGCCCTGCCTAGCCTCCGTGACGTGCTGCGCTGCGCGCGCCGTCCTGCAGACCTCGCGCTGCCTGCTGCTGCCCCACGTCGCGTTGCCCCGCGCACGCCCTGCCCTGCCCCGCGTTGCGCTGCCCCGCGCACGCCCTGCCCTGCCCTGCGCCAGCGCCCTGCCCTGCGCCAGCGCCTTGCTCGGCGCCAGCGCCCTGCCCTGCGCCGGCGCCCTGCCCTGCGCCGGCGCCCTGCCCTGCGCCAGCGCCCTGGCCTGCTCCAGCGCCCTGCCTTGCGCCAGCACCCTGCCCTAACGCCCACGATGCTGCCTTGCGTGTCGCACCCTACGGCAGCCCGCGCGTCGCGCGCTGCTGCCCCGCGCGTCGCGCCCTACGGCAGCCCGCGCGTCGCGCCCAACGGCAGCCCGCACGTCGCGCGCTGCTACCCCGCGCGTTGCGCCCTACGGCAGCCTGCGCGTCGCACGCTGCTGGCCCGCGCGTCGCGCCCTACGGCAGCCCGCGCGTCGCGCGCTACTGCCCCGCGCGTCGCGCTCTGCTGCAGCCCGCGCGTCGCGCCCTACTGCCCTGCGCGTCGCGCCCTGCTGCAGCCCGCGCGTCGCGCCCTGCTGCAGCCCGCGCGTCGCGCCCTGCTGCCCTGCACAGCGCGCGCCCTGCTACCCGCGCAGCCCAGGCCGAGCCGAGCCGCCCTACCCGACCCGATCCGCCCTCCTGCTCGTGCTACTACTGCTGCTGGTGGAGGTGCTGCTAGGAGTGCTGGAGGTGCTGCAGCCTAGCCTCACCGGGCCGCTCTACTGCTCTTACTGCTGTTGCTGCTGCTCGTGTTGCTATCTTCCCTCCGTACCGCCCTCCACTCGCGCACCTCCTTGCTTACCCACTATGACTGTCAGAATGAACAGGCAGGAATCACTGAACTAACAGTGAAATCAGTACAAGTACCTAACCCTAGAATTGTGTACCCCCTATAGGCTAACCCACTACAGCCTACACAAATACAACATGTATAATGTTTGACACACCCCCATAGGCAAAGTGGGGGAGACCTAGGGGTCACAAGACCAGTCAAGGCAAAGCAAGGCAACAACAAGCTCAGGGTGGATCTCAAGGATTCCACATAAATTCCGAGCACAAGCTAGTGGTCACAAGACCAGTTCACATGCAAGTTTATAACAGATCAAGAGGTACAGTGATCACAACCTAGCAAGAGTAAACATGCAGGTATAGATATATATAGTGATCACAGTACAAGCAAAGTCAAGAGGTAAGCAAGTGAGGTCCAGTAGGCACAAGGCCTAGTAGAGTGCAGAAGCGCTGATGGTCACGAGGCTGAAGCGCCTTGGTGAACACATCAGCAGTGTTGGCCTCAGTGGCCACGTAGCGAATACAAAGCTGACCGCGCTGCTGCAGCTCTCGAGCAAGGAAGTACCGCAGGGCGATGTGCTTCGTTCTGTGCTCCAGTCTGTGCTCCTCACACAAGGCAATGGCAGCCTTGTTGTCGACGTACAGTACTGGAGGAGAACGAGGCCGCTCTCCGAGGTCGGTCAGCAGGTAGGTCAGCCAGTGTAGCTCCTGGGCAGCCATGGCTGTAGCGTAGATCTCAGCCTCGCAACTGGAGCCGAGAACAGAAGAAGAGCGTGTAGAGCACCAAGAAACTGAGCCAGAGCCAAGGCTGAAGGTGTAACCCTGAGACGACCGCTGAGTGGCCTGGTCGTCTGCCCAAGAAGCGTCTGAGTGCCCTGTGAGAACAACTCGGTCTCGCCCTCCAAGCACAAGCCCCATGCCCGACGTACTGCACAAGTAGCGCAACACCCTCTTAGCGGCATCCATGTGCTCCTTCCTGTGACGGCCAGGAGCGACATAGCGTGCAAGGATGCTAAGAGGGTATGCAAGGTCAGGTCGAGTGCAGGTCATCAGGTACATGAGGCAGCCCACAAGCTCTGGATACGGGCCACTTGGCTCTACGGACTCATCCGAAGGCAGAGCTGAGAGCGAGTGACCGGTAGGCAGAGGAGTGGACTGAGGCGAGGAGTACGTGAAGCGGAAGCGCTGGAGAACCTGCTGCACCATGTGTGACTGAGTCAGGGTGATGGTGCGCCGTGCTCTGTCCCGGGTGATCCGCAAGCCAAGATAGCTTGTCAGCTCACCCAGGTCTGTGCACGTGTGTCTCCTCTGCAGCTCCGACTTCACGTAGGCGAGTCCTGCAGTGTCAGCAGTGGCAAAGACCAAGTCGTCGACGTACACGAGGATGTAGAACGGCGGCAGTGAAGTGTCGGTGCGCAGGAACAGCGACGGGTCAGCTGTAGAAGGCGCGAACCCAAGAGCCGCAAGTGTAGTCCTCAGTGTGTCGTGCCACTCACGCGGAGCCTGGCGGAGACCGTAGACCGGCCGCTGAAGCCTCCACTGGGTACCAGGAGGAAACGACCCAGTGAAGCCAGGTGGGCGGCACAGCCAGATCTCCTCGTGCAGGCTGCCCTGCAAGAAAGCAGTGCTGAAGTCAAGTGAGTGAAGCTCGTAGTCGCGGTGAGCGGCTATGTGCAGCAGCACCCGAAGAGTAGTCATCTTCGGGGTGGGGGAGAAGGTCTGGAAGAAGTCAACTCCCTCTCGCTGACTGAAGCCTCGAGCCACGTAACGCGCCTTGAAGA